AAACAAGAGCCAGGGCTGGGGTAACAGGTGGGGTGGGCCTGGAGCATGAGGGATGGAGGGGTGATGACTGGGGTGAGATGGATCAACAGGGACAGGACAGGACTCTGGTTCTTCTCAGCCGCGCCCCCCCTCTACCCAGGGTTCCTGTGTCTGCTCCCCACTTTCAGAACTGTTTGTTCTCTGTCACCCCACGGATCCCAGTGAATGGCTTTGGTTTGGAGTCCAGACCTTTCTCCAACACGCCTTTCTCTTTCTGCAACAAGCCAGGTGCTTCAGGTTTCAGGGGACCTTGCCTGAGTTTGGGCTTATCACACAGAGTGGGGTCCCCCCCTTCAGCTGTCCCCACTGTGGCCTTTAAGGCTGTGACCGGGGGAAGGAGTCTGGTGACTCATACTCACCCCTGACATAGGTATTGTGGGTAGAAAATTAATTTAGATAACTTTCTTTTTTAATTTAGATAACTTTCAATTAAATAAATCCTGTCTGCTCTGCTCTTGACTCCAGGACACTTTCCCCTCCCCACTAGCCTTGGTGGGGATTCATGGAGGGAGACCCGCAGTCCCTCATGGGAGCTGGTTTTTGGGTGTGTGTGTGGGGGGGGCATGACAGGGTCTCATGTGGCCCAGACTAACCTTGATGCATGATCCCCCTGCCTCAGACTCTTTGAGGCCACAGGCGGTCGATACCACACTCAGCTTGATTTTTCTGTTCCCCATGCCCGCCTCCATCTTTTGAAACAAGGTCTTTGGAACTCAAGCTGTCCTCAAAGCCATACTCCTCCTGCCTCGGCCTCCCAAGGCCTGGGATGATCAGCATGCATTGCTATGCCTGGTTCCAAAGCTGAGTTTGAGCCAAGCCTCACTCAGTCCAAGGTGGAGGGAGAGAAGGAGTGGACAGAGAATGGCAGGGAGGGGTCGGGAAACAGAAATGTGGCGTAGGTGGGGGTGCCCACAGAAACTCCAGAGCTGGCTGCTGTTACTCTGCGCACAGAAGGATCTAACAGCTCCGAGCAAA